CTTCCCCATCGCTGGCCGCGCGGCTGCCCACCATGGCCGTGACTCTGCCAGTCCTGCTCCTGACTGTCGGTGAGTGTCGCTGCCTGCCCCACATCTGGGAAGGGGACTAGAGCAGGGGGGCTGGGAGCCAGGACTCCTGGGTTCTATCCCCAGCTGTAGGAGGGGAGTGGGGTTGAGTGGTTATTGCAGTGGGGCTGGGAGCCTGGACTCCTGGGTTCTCTCCCCGGCTGTAGGAGGGGAGTGGAGTCTAGTGGTTGGGGGCTGGGAGCCAGGACTCCTGGGTTCTATCCCCAGCTGTAGGAGTGGGAGTGGGGTTGAGTGGTTACAGCAGAGGGGCTGGGAGCCAGGACTCCTGGGTTCTCTCCCCGTCTGTAGGAGGGGAGTGGAGTCTAGTGGTTGGGGGCTGGGAGCCAGGACTCTTGGGTTCTATTTATGTCAGAGCAGATGAGGACTGTACAGGCCATCAAGAAGGGGGTCATCCCAGGGCCCATGGAGACCCCTTGGTGGGGTGGGGGAATGCAGGGAAGGGGCTCTAGGGGAGAGGGCAGGGTAAGGCACAGTCTGTGAGGGGTAGGGCCGAAAGAGGGGCTGTGTGTATGGGGGGCTCAGGTGGGGTGGGGGGGCGAAGGGGGGAAGGAAGGGGGGTTGTTTGGGGGTCACCCAGAGGCCTCACTTTCCCCCCCCCTCGCTCTGTGTCTCCAGCCCTGCCGAAGCCGTCCCTCGTCTGGGACCGGGCCGCAGGTGCCGAGGGGGGGATCCGGCTGCGCTGCTCTGCCCCAGGGTCGCTCGGGGGAGGCTGGTTCACCCTGCACCGGGACGGCACACCAGGCCCTGTGGCTGAGGAGCGGGCCCCGGCGCAGGGCTTGGAGGTGACATTCCTGCTGCCCAGCGTCGGCCCTGGCGAGCGGTACCGCTGCGGCTACTGGAACCGGGACACGGCCTGGGGGGCGGGTGGAGTCCCCGCTCAGCGACCCTGCTAACGTCACCAGTGGTGAGTCCTGAGGGTCTGGTCCCAGGGGCAGGGAGGGGGCGGGATACCAGGGAAGATGGTCCTGGGGATCGGATCCGGGGGGCAGGAGGGCATGGGATGCTGGGGTACATGGGCTCATGGGTCTGATCCAGTGGAAGGGAGGAGATGGGATACTGGGGTAGATGGTCCCATTGGTCTGATCCGAGGAGACGGGATACCAGGGTAGATGGGCCCATCGCTCTGATTTGGGGGGAAGGGAGGAGATGGGATACCGGGGTAGATGGGCCAGTGGCTCTGATCTGGGGGGAAGGGAAGGGATGGGATACCGGGGTAGATGGGCCGTTGGCTCTGATTCGGGGGGGAAGGGAGGAGATGGGATACCGGGGTAGATGGGCCCGTGGGTCCAAGTCAGGTGGGAGGATACCCAACTCTCCCCATTGCCCCCCACAGCCCCCACCCCAGCTCAGGGTACCCAATAGCCCACCCCAACACTCTGCTTCCCCTGTGCCAGGCCCAGATCGCTACCCCAAGCCGTCCATCGCCGTCAGCCCTGGCACGGAGGTCTTGGCCGGCCAGACTTGGACGATCCGGTGCTGGGCTCCGTATGCGGGGATGAGCTTTGTGCTGTACCGGGCACGGGAGTTCTGGACTGAGCGGGCGCCTCGCGGAGACCCCCCCACGGCCGAGTTCCACCTGGGGAACGCCAGCGCTGCCAACGTGGGGAGATACACCTGCTACTATCACACCACCAGCGAGCCCTTCATCTGGTCCAACTCCAGCAACCCCCTGGAGCTCAGGGTCACAGGTGGGGGGA